TTCTTCCACCTCAGAGAACTGTACATTTTCTTTTAGTTTACAAGTTTTTCTTGTTTTATTATTCCGCAGCCAGTCTTGACGTCAACTTTTCGCTTGTATTCTTTTCCAGGATCAAATATTTGTAGTAATAACTTCAGTGCTTCTCTTTTTGTTAGTAGCTTCTCTTTGCTGTTTTGACTTATATCGATGCTTCTGTTGTTATCAATCTTGAGGTAATCATCATCTGGTTGCCATTTGATTCCCAGAACGTTGGCTTCTTTACCAGGTGTTGATTTGAGTTCTTCTTGAATGCCATTCAAACCTCTATTACTGTTGGTTACATATCCGCAGATAACAAAACCACCTTTGTCATGAATTTTAATTACTCCATCTACTAACTTCAGTGCCTCCACCTCTGATGGGCAACTTCCAGCATAATCGTCCATGTAGTGATCTCTCAATATAGTTTCACAAGCTTCCGGATATGACTGGATCTGTTCTAGAGCATTAGTATTTCTGACCTTTTGAGCAGAAAAAGGTGAACACACTGCGCCAAATATCATTCTTCTCATGATGTATACTTTTGGCTGAGTTTCTCTATCAAATCCTCTCCAAAGAAATTGTTGTGCTAATTGATCTTCTGGTCTAATCATTATCTGTGGGAACATTTCTCTTATATCTGCTGTCATTGCTATTTTGTGTTGACGGAACCTGAATATCAGCCCAAGAATATCAACAAATAAGTCAGGTCCTTTTAGCAAAGCGTCATTCAGACTAACACCTTTACATTTTGCAGCAGCGTCGAAGCAAATCCGGAATTTTCCAGGTTTTTTAGGATTTACAACTCCAAGGTGTGGGAGGTACCATACCTTTTCTGAAAATCGACATAGTCTTGCTTCTTCCAAAGTTCTTTCTGTGGCATAACCTTTAGTAATATTTTCCTCCATTTTCTGTACATATTTTTCACCAAATTCCTTATCTTTTTCCATTCTTATTTCCAGATTACATAATCGTTGTGTAGCCATAGAGTAATTGTTTGGTAAATCAAAATTTTCCTTCTACAATAAACCTGTTTCCCAGCGATCTCCTACCTTCTTTGTAGTTTTGTGAAATATATCTTCGGCTCTTCTATCCTCTCCAGACAGTAGTTCGTTGTCATTCACGTCATCTTGCAAATTTTCACCTAAGGATTTGCCAACTAAATTTCTAAACTCTTTACAACAGTCTCTTGGCTCTACCAACTCATCTTCTTCGATTAAATTTACATGATGGAATACATGTTCTTGTTGTGATGTTGTATTTTCTTTCCTATCAGAAACTACTCCATGAACAACCCAACCTAAAAGTGTCTTACTTACTGCTGGACCACGCCATGGACCATGTACAACATTCCTAGAGACAAGGAGAGGCCAATTGTCTGGGCCAATTAGAATGGTAGGCTTAGCATTTTTGAAAGAAGAGACTTTGATCTTATTTAAGTGTTTCCACTTAACTGAAAGATGTTCCATATTAATCGACTGAATAGGAAGTGACAAATCTTTTACTGTTCTTACATTATTCAAATAATACTTTTTAGCATTATCTTCAAGTCCTGAAATATTAAGAGATATTTTCATGGAACTTCCCTCAGATCTAGTCAGTCACATCGTTTGACCATTGCATAATCAACTCAGAAGCTGGACCCTCAATTCCCAATTTACCTGCAATTTCCTCTTCTACTAATGTCAATGTTGAACCATCGTCTAAGAACGCATAAGTTTCCAGATCTCCCTTAGGTCCACGAAGTTTAACTGGAAGAATACGCAGCAAAACCTGATCTTTATTTGGTGAGTTTATTACATTACTAGTACCAGAATCAATCTTATTTGGGAGGTGTAGAAAAGTATTGTGGCGTTTCTTACATTTTTACAACTCTCCTTACTCTTACAACTGGGTGCTGTATGACCTTTCTTCAGACAAAGAAAGTAAATTTCCTCAGATAATGCTCATTTAACCCGTTCATCTACAGATTGTTCTTTAAACTTTTTACATTGGAACAATAAATGTTGGTCTAAACACTTGTTTTCAGAACTATAACTTAATTTATTTTCAAAACTCCTTACTCCTGTATTGTTTCCAATCGATACATCTCTCTTGTAAGTTGTAATGTCATTAAATTTATACCTTAATACCTTAATACCTCCTTCTTCGTCTTTTACCCACAATGTGGGATTGACAGCGTCACTTTAACACGATTACTAATACAAATACCCCTGCCGCAGCAAACCAGCCGTCTAAGCGAATTTCCATTTGTCCGAATTGATTTTCAATTGATCTATTTAAATAACATTATTAGGTTTAACGAGTACCTAGGTTTGCTGCTACAAGGAAACTAATAAAGTAGTGTGTTTTTAGTAAAATATTGATAGCTTACTATAAAATAAATAAATTTGCCAACTTTGATCAAAATATATCCATAAACAAGCAAACTACAACATTTTACAATATTCTCCATAAGAATAACATGGGAATTTTAAATTTACCATTTTTTTAGTTTTCTCCGTAACCAATAACCGTACAAAAACACTTTGATATACTGAATTGTTTGTTTTTTTAAGCTCTTTAAGAAGGTTTAGAGAAAAATTGGGAAATTTTGTGTTTTGAGGGTAAAAAGTGAGAAAACCCCATTTTTACCCCATAAAACCCCCCATAAAACCCCCCATAAAACCCTGTTCCCATGGTCCGATCATGCTGGATCGCGAACTCATTCAAGTTTATCCCGCCTTACACCTTCAAACCAAATTTCATCAAAATCGGATAAAAATTACTCAAGTTATCGTGTTCACGGACACATATATATATATATAAATCTATATATATTCCTATATATATATACATATATAAAAATTTGAACGAATGGTGTTTTTGGCCTCTGGGGACATTAAAATGAAAAAGTAAATCGGTCCCGGGCCTAAGTCTTACCATGAGACCTACGGTAATAGCTACTTCCCTATAGGGAAATTCGCTAAATACTTCCCTATAGGGAAATTCGCTAAAAACAATATTTACAACTATTTACATACTTCCGGCAGGCTACAGGCTTCTTAAATCACCCCCTAAATACTCTGAAATATCGTAATAGGCCTGGCTCTTGATGAAAGTGGTTAACACTGCCTCAAATGTTCTCAAGTCCAACAACTGGATATGTCGTGGCAGCTTATTGAACAGACTTACGGCTGACACACTATAACTAGCCTGGGTCCTAGATAGTCGCACCCTTGGTACATCAAGCTGATGGCGCTGCCTGGTGTTATACTGGTGGACGTCAACACGAGTGGTGAAGGTTGTTATATTAGCCCTAACGTGCACCAGACAGAGAAGTATGTAGTGGCCAACTACAGTAAGCACACCAAGTCGTGCAAAGAGGGGTTTGCAATGAGCACGATACTCACTCCCAGTAATAATCCTTAATGCACGCTTCTGGAGCCTAAGCACTTCAACAACATTTGGCGAGTGTCCCCAGAGAAGAAGACCATAGCTGACATGACAGTGAAAGAGGGCATGGTACACCATCACCAAATATGCCTCCGTTACACAAAATTTCAGCTTGAAGAGGAGGAAACAGATCCGTGAGAGTCTGTTGGTGGTCTGGTCAATATGATGTATCCAGCTGAACTTCCCATCAAGAACAAATCCAAGCAATTTAACTGGATCTTGAACACCAGGCTGATCTCTGGAGAGGCTGCAGATGATGTGCTGCGTCTTATCCTCGTTTAGTTGGAAGCGGTTTGCCAGAAACCAGGCACCCAGTCAGCATAAAAATTGTTGGAAAAGAAAATAAATTGTTTCAAAATAGTTTCAAAATTGTTTCGAAATTGTTTTAAAATTGTTTTAAAATTGACAAATTTGGAATTTTGTCTATATTAAAATGAGTTTAAAATTGTTGTACAACAATTTCAAAATTGTTGTACAACAATTTTGAAATTGTTATAAAATATTTTTGAAGTTGTTTTAAAACAATTTTGAAATTGTTTTAAAATTGTTGTATAACAATTTTAAAGTTGTTGTATAACAATTTTAAAGTTGTTGTATAACAATTTTGAAGTTGTTTGGAAATTGTTTTGATTAGTTTACTATCAAAAACAATGGTGAATAAATAAAAACAAATAAGTATACTGAAATTCTTCTATTTGAAGTAAACAAATTAAAAAAAGTAGAGAAATAATAAAAACACAGTCTACTACATTCTGGATTAAAAAAGTAGAAATGGATGCATGGATATAAAAATAAAATATTCATGGACAAACTTTAAGTTCTCTACCAGTCAGCACAGAATAAATTATTATCTTTTCAATTGCAAAGTTAACATTCATATATAGCAATCATTAGTTTGCCTAGGCCTAGACCTAATTATTTAGGAGGGCTTGTATAAACTAAGTAACAAACAATGAGGTTATAATAGCAGCAAATTATCATCATTCTAGTTTATAAGATTTAGATTGCAACGCATACAACACAATAAATAAATATGGGGAACAAAAAAATATTGAAACCCAAACAGCCAACAATAAAAGACAAAGATACATGAAATGCAAGGACATGATTTTTTGAGACCAAGTAGGACTGTGTTATGATAAAAAATTAATGCAAACAACAATGCTCGTGGTTTTGTCAATTGAAAGATAAAATGTCCATAAAAAAGGATTTAACTTATAAAATAACACTGTATATTAATTCGAAGTTTAATATGAAACCGTAAACAGTTTTGAAGGGAGTAGGCAACGGCCAGCGGCAAATTGAATCTTCAAGATGAAAGTACAAGTAAGAAGTTAAATATAACAGCTAATATAAAACTATTATTCCCATGATCAAAAAGGTTTGGGATCTAATGATAATTACCCTAGTAATAAATAAATAAGTTGTCAAGGAATGACAGTGATACAACTTTTATGAGCTTTGCTTTGCTACTGAGTCATAAGTTTTTTGAAGTACTTGACTTGATGTGATTGTCGAGATAAAATATTTATGGCTTTGAAACTGCTAATGTGGTTTCTATTGCATAATTACTCTATAGTAATAAATGATGAAAATGTAAGCAAACATTTTATAAAAAACCTTTTATGTTCTTCTAACAAATTTTTATGTCATACTTAAAATGGCCCACACAATTATTTAAGGACAATTACCACTAAAAATTACCCATATTTACTAAAAACAGAACATTTCAGTAAAAAAATAAGTTCATTCCCAGATTTCCCGGTTCGTAGACACTCTGACAATACATTATTTACACATCATTCAAGCGTCGGCGGCTTCATGATCCTCATCTTCCTGTTCTTCAGGTGCTCTTTGACACCCTGCCCTAAAATTATAACACACGGATTAATATTATATTTCGTTACTAGGGACCCCTGAATTTTTACAGCTGTTACGTTAAGCAAATGGCATTATAGCAAAAGCTAGTCTAGAATGTTGACGTCGGCAGCTTGACTTAAAAAAATGAAAACTTAATATCTAAAAAACTGAAACCCTAAACTGAAATTGTGCCTTTCACATTCCCTAGTTCTCAGAATTATCTTTCTTTCGACACAAAAATAGTGAAAATCCATCAAGTGGTAGATTCAGAATCGTTAAATAAAAAAATCCTGACAAGTATTAAAGATTGTTGCAGTATTTGTCTGAGATAAATAAAATCACCTGAGCTTTAGTATAACAATATACTATCAAAACTGAATCATCCGGAATTAAGAGAGAAAGCTAGTAGCATATTGTTTTGTTAGCCTATGTTTTTAACCTCACTAAGTGAATTTTGTAATACAAATTATCACACTATACATACCCTTTCTAAGTCTTTGTTTTTAATTGTGTCTGTGGCAGCCATGAAGCAACTGATTTCTCTATTTTGCTTTGTTCAATGTTGGCCCATCTCTTCTTCGTTATTTCTTAAAAAAACAAAATGCATTTAATAGAACATTGCAAAAAAAATTTCTGCAATTTTTGTGGCGTTAACATTTATTGAAAATTATATAATAAATGAATAGCCTAGCTAACGTGTATGTTTGCGCTCAATCATTTTTTAAAATTTATAGGTCTACACATATTTTAAAATAGCCACTTTGTTCTAAATTTTATAAGGATTAGGCCTACAAAAATATAATAATATAAGGAAGAAAATTTGAAAATAAATAAGTTATGGGTGAAAAACAGATTTCGTACATTAAGCGTTAGCTAAGAATGCATAGCCTAACCATAGCTAGGAATCTGGCCGATAATTTACATTAATACCTACTTCTTCAGGATCATCAACCAGCCCTTCAAAATCACTTAAATCTTCTTATAATGGACCACGTATTTTTTTTAATTTTTCACACTAAGACAATGGAAACGTTTAATAAAACACACCAGTCATCGGTGGTTAACCAAGTTGTTTATAAATACGCACGTCAGCTGCCTGCTAAAATATTTTTGGAACTAAAATGAAAAGCGTCTAGAAACATACATCAGGAGAAAGCTTAGAATCTGCCGAAAACGATACCAATCTTGATCCAGTTCAATCTGATTAAGTCAGTCCCAGAGCCTTCGACATAAACGATGTTTGTGTGTCGCAAAAGCGACGCATAACACCACGGCGAATGTGTTGTGCATCGATTACGCGATGCTTAACTCGGAGGGCTAAATTATGAGTTAACCAAGTTTTAAGGTCTAGTAAGTTAACATATTTGTAAACTTAACTTAGAGTTGAAAAACCCCTGCAGCCCTTAACACAACAAGTTTAAAAATAGGCTAACTTAACTTAAATCAATCCCTAGCTGATGTAACTTAGCTAGGCTTAAGCCTAAATACCTAGTCATATTACTTTTAAGCAGTTGCCGCATTAGGCGACAGGCCCAACAATGTCATTTTCTATTTGAGTTGGGGACGCCACCTAAGTGAGTAATTCAATTCAATTATGAGTTTATAAACTTAATGTTAGATGCCTTGTGTAAGTTAGGTCTAAGTTATTTTAGTTTTGGTTACTGTAAATCCAACTGTATCATTTAGCAACGACCATTTACTAAAAACCCAACGGTAACTTACAGTTTCAGTAACATAGCCTGTTATATTTATGAGAAACAAAAGGAAATTCATAAGAGTTTGCTCACATAGGCTAGGCCAATTCTAGAGATGGGCCATAATCATGTTACCTACCAAATACCTATCAAAGTTATTGGTTAACTTAGACCAGGAACTATTGGAGTACCTACCTCTATTTCATTTTAGGTTAGGCCTATATGTTAGTTTAGAATAACTGAATCACCACTGACTGAAAAGGCCTAAGTAAGTTATAACTCACCTTGTTTGCTGCTTAAGAAGCTATGTAGGATAAAAACAGTAAACTTAATGCACCTAATAACTTTTGAAACATAAACAAAATGCCGTGATCGTGATGCCCGTCAGCCCGTGATCATGATCAAATCAAATCAACAGACTGGAGACTGCTGTAGTCAGTGAACTGCGAAACTCTGGTAGAGTCTAGAGTAGATGATACTTGTAAGAATGTTAAAACTCATCCAGTATACTTATAAAATTACAAATAATAAATAATTTATTTTCACTACTGTTAACCTGTTGTTATTAACTATTAAACTTATACAGGTCCCGCAATTGATGGTCTAGGTCTAACTTGAGTTTGGCAGTCTGCCCCTCCTCCATGACTCTTTCACTTGATTTTACCACTATCGTACTGTATTTTAATCAAAATCGCGGGGAGCTGTCGTTGCTGACGCATTGGCCACATACAATGAATACACAAACTAGTTTGTGTATTGATTGCCACATACACACACCACAACACACTGACTATTATCCTACAAGTATAAGTGTCCCATAAGGAAAAATAGAAAAAATGCGCGAAAGATTTAAAATTTGGGCGAAAAAACACGAAAATCATTATAAATCTTTTTACAAAACAGACCATTTCAAGATTATGGATGGCCATTGTAATTTTTGTAACTTATATTACTGAAAGGAAAGCCGCTTTCATAAATATAATATCCAGAACATTTTGGTTTTATAACATTAATTATTATTTTAATGAATTTAGAAGTTGCATTTAAATTGGTTTAAAACAGTTTTAAGATTGTTGTAAACTTATATCAATACAATTGTGATACGTGTTTTTGAAAAATTGTTTCAAAACTATTTTAAAACTGTTGCAAACTTATATCAAAACAATTTTGATATGTGTTTTCGAAATAGTATTAAAATTGCTTCTAAACAATTTTAAAACTGTTGCAAACTTATATCAAAACAATTTTGATATGTGTTTTCGAAATAGTATTAAAATTGTTTCTAAACAATTTTAAAACTGTTGCAAACTTATATCAAAACAATTTTGATATGTGTTTTCGAAATAGTATTAAAATTGTTTTAAAACAATTTTAAAATTGTTGCACACTCATATCAAAACAATTTTAATATAGTTACTAACCATCTATATTAAAACAATTTTGAAATTGTTTAAAACTTATATTAAAATTGTTTTATATCCAAACTTATTTCGAAATTGTTGCAAACTCTTTTAAAATTGTTGTACAACAATTTTTTTGGCTTTTCAACAATTTTTATGCTGACTGGGCAGTTGTATCTTCAAGACGCTGTCTGGAGATGGCCAAAGCTTGATCGATGTTCGTACCAGCTGACAGGAGAGAAGTGTCGTCTGCAAACATGAGGGTAGTGCCAAGGTTGTCGAGATCGTTGATCATGATGAGAAAAAGGGTAGGCCCAAGCACTGAACCCTGGGAGACACCAAAATCAACTGGCAAAGTGCTGGAGACAGCTCCACCAACTGCAACGACCTGCGAGCGCCGTTCGAGGTAAGTACTCAGGATGGCAAGAGCGGCATCCCTGATCCCATAGAAGTGGAGTTTCCTTTTCAAGATGGAGTGGGAAACACAATCAAATGCTCTACTGATATCACAGAGAGTCAGAGAGAGAGCTTGGTGGTTTTCAAATGCATTTTCCACACTTGCAGCAACTTTTGCAACAGCATCAACGGTTGACCTGCCCTTACGGAAGCCAAACTGCATATTCGAGAAGAGGTCAAGTCCCTCAAAAAATGCTTCAAGCTGGGGTTTTATGGTGGCTTCTACCACCTTTCCGAAGACAGGAGTTATGGAGATGGGCCGATAGCTATTAAGCCTCTGGTGGTCACCCTTCTTGTAAATAGGGACAGTTTTCGAGGTCTTCAGAAAGTCCGGGAAGACGCCACAACTAAGGCAGTCGTTGACAGCAGTAGCAAGTGGAATGGCGATGGCATCAATAGTTTTTTGAAGTATGTAGGTAGACATACCAAACACATCAGGGCTCCTAGATGGCTTGAAAGACAGAACCAGCTTTCTAAGGTTGTGAGGAGTTGTAGGTTGGAAAACTGTTAGAGTATCAGGTGGAGGATTCACTCTAGATTCCAGAAGCTGGATGGGGTCCACATCTACATCAGGTAAGGCCTCAGTGATAGCTCTTACAGAATCAATGAAATATCCATTGAAGGTATCAGGGCTTGCAAATTCAACAGACCGTCTAGTGCAAGACCTGTGCGAGTTGATGACATCCCATGCAGCCTTACAGCGATTTGGGGCGTGTTCGATTTGTGACTCAGTAGCCTTCTTCTTCGCCATCTCAATTTGTCCCTTATAATAAGCCTTGGCCTGTCTATACCTTAAAAGGTACCTGTCATTTTCACCGCCAGCAGAACTATCTTTAAGAGCTAGCATCACAGCTTTAATCCTAGCCAACTCATCCGTATACCATTCCTTGTGGCTAACTAAACGTTTAACCTTTTTGGTCTTTTAGGGTCGGTAAGGTCTGATTTTTTCAGGGAAAAACATATCAAAAATCTCCTGAAATTTTTTAAAGAAAACATACAACTTATTGCTAACTCCAGCATCATTTAAGATTTCCTCCCAAGGGGTGCTGGCAAGTGCCTCCCTGAAACGCACAAGATCAGCATCATCAACTAGCCTAGAACTAAAAGTATAATTCACACGCCAGGATAAAGAAGTATTGCTTACCAGGCTGCAGTTTGCCACATTGAGAGAGGTTACCAAGGCTGCGTGATCATCCCCATGCAGCTCCACCACCCTTGTGTCACAGTCAAAGGGTTGGAAGTTAACAGCAACCTTGTCGAGGCAGGATCTTCCTCTGGTTGGCTCAAAGCAGGTAATGTACAGGCCATATGATTTCAAGAGCTCCACAACAGTCCTCGCTCTATGGTCATCTCCAACTAAGTTTACATTGAAATCTCCAGCTATAGCAATTTTAACAGATGATTTTCTGTTCAGAAAGACAAGGCACTGTTCAAAAAGTTCACAAAAACTTTCAAAACTTCCGCTAGGGGAACGATAAACGGATACACAGATGGTGTTTTGAGCAGGTAAAAGAACAGCAACAAGTTCGCAATCAAGTTCTTTACAGAAACTATTTACATTCAAGACATAAAAATCGATGTCGCTACGGATGTAAATTGCAGACCCACCGCACCGAATTTCAGACCTACAGAAAAAACTGGCAGCATTGAGGTCAGATGTTTTGCTATAAAAGTCAGTTTCATTTTGAGTTAAAAAATGTTCACACAAACACAAGATGTCTAGCTTCTCATTTTCAGCAAATAGAGTCAAAAGGGCTTGCTTAGGCCTAACACTCTGGACATTCCAGTGACCCAGAAGTAAGGTGTCATTAGGCCTAGTGTTGAATATGTCTTTAGTTATGTTTGCCAGTTTTTCAGGCTTGCTCTCCCTAAAAAAACTCTAGATTGAACATTATGCCTACTTCGAATGTGAAATTTTCGCACAAGTGCACCAGCAGGCCAAAATTCAGCGCTCAGCAACTTAGATTCAGAAACTGAGGTTACCCCTATCTTGAACGATTTGTAACTATTGGATTTCGTTTTGAGTTCTATACAATCACTGACTGTTACCTGCCTGTCAGAAAGATACTTAGAAACTGAGTCGCAAGATTCATTTACTGAAATTCTAGTCAAAAATATATAACTTCTTTCGGTTGGAGAACTATTTACAGGTTTAGCAGTTTTGAGGCCTACCTCGTTTCCAGTGCAGACGATGATGTTTTTGGAGGTTCTAGATTTGGGAGTCATTGAAGGTCCTGTGGTATCACTTGTAGTTTGTAGATTTTTCGGTAAGGCTTTAAGTTTATCCGCAAAACTAACACTCAGATCTCTATTTACAAATTTAGAGCTGACATCTACAGAAGAAGTGGGGTGAGAAACTTTAGAGCGGCCATGTTGTTGTTGAGTTCCGCCAGAAATTTTACTGAGTTCAGTCAGTAGTAGTTCATCCCCAATCCCAACATCAGGCGTTAAGCACAGACCATTAAGAAGAGTCACAGTCCCATTAGTGACAGAGGTTATACCCAGTCTTTCAGGAAGAGTATCAGAGGCAGTCTGAGTTGAGGAACGGGCGGTATTTGCAGACATGTCAGTGGGGACAGTAGTATGAATGACATTTTCATCTTTTCCATCCGATTTGGATGTCTGTGTCACTGTCAATGCAGACGACAAATCACTACTTTCGTCAAGTACATGTGTTTCCTGTTTAGAGCAACTTGTGTCTAACCTCACTTTGTCAATATGAGAAGAATCATAAGATACATTTTGGTAGCCCAAAACATTGTCAATTTTCTTTGTTATTTGAGAGTTGCTCGAAACTAACTCTTTCATCAAACCCAGAATATCCTTGGTCACAATGTCAGCATTGAATCTACTTACGTGAACTTTCAGTGTATCATGGCAGTTATCACAAAACCACTTCACTTTATCACCTATAAGGCCAAAATCATGTCGTATTCATTAGATGAGATCATTAAACACTTCGAGTGAAACCACACCTCACAAAAACCCTCACAACAGAGTCCTTTATCGTTTTTATTAACATTTTTGGAGCACACTCCACACTGCGCGCGCTTCCTAGTAGCCATTGTTGCCGGAAGTCTATGTTGAGAAAAGTTAGTGTTTACACGTAAGAATGCATCTGATTTCTTACGCAACCAAATACTGAATGTCTTTAGATCGATACAGTCATTTCCCACCTCATTTAAATACTCTCCCCATTGTAACTTCAAACTATTATTAAGTTTACTCGTCATTTGGTTTAACAATATGGGATTAAACAAGTATTCTGGCTTATCTACCAACTCTACTGTACTTACAAGATTTTCAATATGATCTGCCAGTTTTTCTAGATTGTATTCATTTGCTCCATTAAACTTCAACATAACTGATTCTAATTTCCCAATTAAATTACTAATTATTAGGTCTGGTCTTCCAAATTTATTTTCCAAACGATTTAATACTGTATTTAAGTTACCAGGCACCATCAAAAGTGACTCTACACATTCCCTAGCCTCTCCTTTCAAAGCATAACGTAATCTAATCAGGTTTTCATCATCAGTGAATTCACAAAGTGATGAAGTTCTCTTTAGCTCTGAAATAAAATGAGGCCATTCAACAGGATTACCATCAAAAATAGGAACCTCTTTTGTTAATAGTTGTCGCGAAAACAAAGTCTTAAGGTTCAAATTACTTCCATTTTCAAGATTAGAGTTTAAATTTGACAGTGTTGGACTTACTTTTTCTCCTGGAGTTGATTCCTTACGTGAATTCACAGCAGCATCTCGTCTCTGTTGGTCGTCCTGGCCGAGTGGGACTGTCTCTTCTTTCTTCGAATTTTCTCTAGAGAACATCCCGGACGATCATTCAAGGTTGATCCTGGTTTTTCGTTGTAGTAACCGTGCTTTGTAATCCAATCTGAAGTCCTGTGGTGAGATGATGCGACACTCAATCTTGACAAAATTGATCCACTGTGAGATGAACTTGATTTTCTGATTTCATTTTCTTTGGATTTTAAAACATTCAGTCTGTCCAATTCCTTAAGTTTTCTTTCAAGTTCCATTTTTGCTTTTTCTTTTTCGATTTCCATTTTTCGTTCAAGTTCCATTGTTGCTTTTTCCATTTCCATTTGTTCTTCCATTTCTTTGATCTTAAATTCTTGTTCTAATCGTTCCTTCTCCCTCTCAATCTCTTGTAAATCAATTAGTTCTTGTAGCTCATCTTCAGCTTCAGTTTTTCTTGAGGATCTAATTGATTTGTTTCTTAATGATTTTTGTTTATCCACTCTGCTCTCAGGTCTTCTTATATTCCTACCTCTCAGGCTCAACGAATTCATATCATCCATAGGTTGGCTCGTTATTTCTTGCAAAGGACCATTGTTAACACCACTGCCCCCGCCATCATTGGTTTTGTCCTCCACCACTTCCAAACCGGAGGAGGACATCATAGTTAAATATATTAGTATTGGCAGAACGCAGATTGTTGGTAATTTGAGTATATCAAAAAGTAAGTACAAAAAGAAAGAGAGGAGATAGGTGTAGTCTGGATGAACTATAGAATGTAATTGAATATTTGTTTACAAAATATAAATAAACAATAAACAGCTGAACATATGATATCCTATACTCTAATACGAGCAATGTTTGCTTGTATGCTTGCTTGCTTGCTTGCTTGCTTGCTTGCAGAAAGATCTCGAAAACGGCTCCGACGATTTTCTTCAAATCTTGTAAATAGTTTATTTTTGGCCTAAAAACGAGTTTCATGCAGTTAGAACTGCCAACAAAAATCTAATTACGTAGAAAAATGAAACTGAAAATCACATTTTTTTAACATTAGTCTTATGGGTTGCTAGGTAACCATGTTGGATGAATTAAATAACAAGGATAAAGTAAACAAAAGACTTGAAGTTGTAGCATGTGTTCATAGTAAGCCAACTACCCACAGTATACTAGCAAATTACAAATACAGTACAAAAGGAAAACATCACTTAATAATTAGCATAATATTTAGCAAAGATTATACTGAAGATTACTCGATACATTGTAGGGAGTATGTTTTATAGTCTATGGTTTTATCTATGATTGTAGTCAAGGGCAGCGGTGCGAAGTCTGGGATCTGTTTATGACGATTAGATTAGATTAAGGTATCTGCAATCCTAAAATGCTATGGGAAGGGAAGGAAACAGGTCCGCGACATAGGAAGTGGTGAAGGAAGTAATAAAGGCAATCATAAAATGCTATGGGAATAGAGGGAAACAGGTCCGTGACGTAGGGAGTGATGAAGGAAGTAGTGAAGGCGAGCAGTCCGGAGTGTGGGGAATGTTTATGACGATAAGATTAGGGTATCTGCAATCCTAAAATGCTATGGGAAGGAAGGAAAACAGGTCCGCGACGTAGGAAGTGGTGAAGGAAGTAGTCAAGGCGAGTAGTCCGGATTGTGGGAACTGTTTATGACGATTAGATTAAGGTGTCCGCAATCTTAAAATGCTATGGAAAGGAAGGAAAACAGGTCCGCGACATAGGAAGTGGTGAAGGAAGTAGTCAAGGCGAGCTGTCCGGAGTGTGGGAACTGTTTATGACGATTAGATAAGGGTATGGGCAATCCTAAAATGCTACGGGAAGGGAGGGAAACAGGTCCGCGACGTAGGAAGTGGTGAAGGAAGTAGTCAAGGCGAGCTGTCCGGAATGTGGGAACTGTTTATGACGATTAGATAAGGATATGGGCAATCCTAAAATGCTATGGGAAGGGAGGGAAACAGGTCCGCGACGTAGGAAGTGGTGAAGGAAGTAGTCAAGGCGAGCTGTCCGGAGTGTGGGAACTGTTTATGACGATTAGATAAGGGTATGGGCAATCGTAAAATGCTATGGGAAGGGAGGGAAACAGATCCGCGACGTAGGAAGTGGTGAAGGAATTAACAAAGGAAATCATAAAATGCTATGGGAATAGAGGGAAACAGGTCCGTGACGTAGGAAGTGATGAAGGAAGTAGTGAAGGCGATCAGTCCGGAGTGTGGGGAATGTTTATGACGATAAGATTAGGGTATCTGCAATCCTAAAATGCTATGGGAAGGAAGGAAAACAGGTCCGCGACGTAGGAAGTGGTGAAGGAAGTAGTCAAGGCGAGTAGTCCGTAGTGTGGGAACTTTTTATGACGATTAGATTAAGGTGTCCGCAATCTTAAAATGCTATGAAAAGGAAGGAAAACAGGTCCGCGACATAGGAAGTGGTGAAGGAAGTAGTCAAGGCGAGCTGTCCTGGGTGTGGGAACTGTTTATGACGATTAGATAAGGGTATGGGCAATCCTAAAATGTTATGGGAAGGGAGGGAAACAGGTCCGCGACGTAGGAAGTGGTGAAGGAAGTAGTCAAGGCGAGCTGTCCGGAGTGTGAGAACTGTTTATGGCGATTAGATTAAGGTATTTGCAATCCTAAAATGCAATGGGAAGGGAGGGAAACAGGTCCGCGACGTAGGAAGTGGTGAAGGAAGTAGTCAAGGCGAGTAGTCCGGAGTGTGGGAATTGTTTATGATGATTAGATTAAAGTATTTGCAATCCTAAAATGCTATAGAAAAGGAGGGAAACAGGTCCGCGACGTAGGAAGTGGTGAAGGAAGTAGTCAAGGCGAGTAGTCCGGAGTGTGGGAACTGTTTATGACGATTAGATTAAGGTATTTGCAATCTTTAAATGCAATGGGAATGGAGGGAAACAGGTCCATGACGTAGGAAATGGTGGTGAAGGCGAGCCGTGTGGAGTTTGGGAATGGATTTATGCATCTCCAATACTAAGGTGCTTTCAGAGTGAACTAATGATTTTCCCCGAGCAAAGCTCGGTCCCCAGGTACTTAAATATAAAGCACAAAAGGGAAATTAATAGTACAGAACTAAAGGTAAAGATTATGAGTGGTGACACATCTGTTATCTAAATACGTAAACGAAAAAGTGTGTTAAAAATGCATCGCACAAATAACGAGATGACACTCCTTCAGCCATTGGTAAATGTACTGACATCAATTGGTAAAGTTGGGGACATCCTTGGGAGGATACCTCAACGTGTTCTAGTTTGATTAAGCAAAAGTCACTTCAACTTACAGTAAGTTAATTCCTTGTTGGCCTTCTCTACTCACAGTCGAAACTTTTAACTTTCTCGTTATTTCTTTGCTATTCGTTGATTTATTTTGTAAATCTTGTAAGTGTCCATGCACTGCAAGAAAATATGAAAACTATAGATCCGTTTTATGCTTTGAATAATGTACTCGAAAAATTCTATTATATTAAAATGTATGCCGTTGTTGGGGATTACGCACAATTTTCTTCCCAAGCTGAGATATAATATATAAGACAATGAGCCCTTATGGCTAGCTTATTACAGCTTTGGGAGGTGGTTTTTTTGAAAACGGTTTTATTCAGCCGGGTGATCTTACAGCTATTTTAAAACTGGCTAAGACACACTTCGTGAGAAACTCCTTATCATGCGAGTAGAGTAGCTTTTGAAAATAGGCTAATAAAGTGATTATTTGCTTGGAATAAGTCGAAATCCTTTTTAAGTTAAAATACGTTGTTGGTTTATTAATTTCAAGTAACTAAAGATTGCAGCATATGTACATGCTGGCATACTCAAACGCATATATATAGGCATATACCGTATAGGCCTACTCAAACCAATTCCCAAATGTATTTCTTATTGTATTTTTTCACTAGGCATGTCAGTGGGTTTTTAGATACCTACTGTACTACATATACTAAATATACATAAACAAAACAAATAGTTTTGACATTTATGACATAATCATGTTGCTTTTATCATAACAAATCTTTATTGTAATTACTTGTTATGATAGAAACAACATGACTATGGCATAAATGTTGAAGCTAATCGTTTTCAAATACAATTTATTTTTAAAATGGTTCTCAGTTTTTATTAATATGTTCACATATCAAATAGTAGCGATTGGACTTTTATACAATTTGATAAGGCATTGAGTATGCTAGGAATTCCACAGAATTCCTACAGGTGTGTCAGGTAAAGTAATGAAGATATTGGTTATAAGCATTTATTTGACAGTTTTGATTTGTCTGTTGTACAGTTTGATTAGGTTTACTAATTTTAGTTTATTTTAGATTAGGTTGGCTAATGCGAAAAAATAATCAATTGTCTTTAAACAACCCTTGAAAATAATCAATATTTTGTATATGTTGGGTTAGTTTATTCAAGGTTAGAAAATGTTATACTCGACCTACTGGGCTAACGGATTATTTATAGAATGGTTTGGCAAAGTAATGATCTTTATTTCATACATTGTCTGGTTCGTTTAAGGCAATGCATAAAATGTCTAATTATATAATTTGCCTGTAATTGCAATCTAACTTGAAATATTTAGACGTCCTTCCTATTGTTGACAATTGCCTGAAGTTTCGTCGCCTGAGACTGATTAGCGACACATTGAGCTTCTCAGTTATATGCTTCAAGTCAACAGGATGGGCCAGAGTAGCGGGTTTCAAACAAAATGTTGGACAATTAGGAATGTAAACAAGCACAATTAGTAGATATACAGTATACATATCAACCCATTTTCTCCTTTCCAACTGTAAGTAATAATATCCAATCTATAGTCAACCTATAACCACGATTGGACAGACATGACTTGGAGCTTACTAACCAAATTATGCTTACTTACTAAATAAATATGCTGGCATAACTATCTAAAATGGGTTAATTGATTTAAGTTTTTGACAAATTCTGTTATAAAGAAAAATAGCATAAAAATAGATTGTTTTCAACCAGGCACTATTCCTTGAAAGATAAACTTGTTTACGTTTAATAAGATAGGAGAAAACAATACAATTAACACTAACTTTAAAAGAAAACAATGCGTAATGTTGTTATGGTAGCCTAATTCCAGCCTATGTTGTGAAAATAGTATCTATCACTACCCAATTGGTCAACTGCACACTTACGTGTTAAACTATATTGTTAATGGTAGTGCCTTTGGAATTTAGACCAATAAAGAATTTTATAAGAATATCTGAATAACGAAGCGATAAAAAAAAAAATATTTTTGATTTCCTCTTTATTTTGGCCCAAGGGTTCCTAGGTAAATTATATTCCTACCTTTTTTAACACCATGTATATATATATACTTATACTTATAAATGAGCGTTTTCTTATAAAACAGTTTTCTCGGTTTTTAGCTTTATTTTGTTACTTTACAGATTAATGTTATGTAATGTTGACGAATTTTATAACAATTCAGTCAGTTGAAGTTATAAAATTAATCATTCTACCGACCATAAGCCCTGCGCCCCATATAAGAGAAATTATAATTCTGAAAAAGGGTAAGATTGGACCATCTTTAAACACAACTAAAATCATAAAACATTACATGGGAAGGTCAAAAACTGGAATTCTATACTTATTTTAGAAAATTTGAGGGTTAAAGAATTATAACTT